GTGGTCGTGCTCCACACGACAGGTGTGTCACGGCGTACATGTGGGTCGAGGGATGGTGCTAGTATCGGGTTGGGGAGACTTGATTTGTGCCGGCGGCCGGTGTACGGAGGGTCACTGGGGATCTCGCGGAGGCGTCTGTCTTCCAGAGGCAGCGCGGACGACCAGCGACGTGGGTCATGTGCCTTCGTGTGTGGAGCTTGGGGGCATTGGGCACTTATCGCTAGGCTTAGTCGATTCAAGGCGATCTTGTGCCGGTGCTGCACCTTGCCCCGGGGGAAAAGCTTCTGAAGATCAGTGGTGGTGATGAGGTGTTGTGTTGTGTTCTTGTCTATGAGCGCGTGCATGTCTAGGCCCAGCTCTGTCAAGGGGAGCAAGCATCTGTACGGCAGGGTTTCGGACTTTGTGTCCTGCCGCGCGTTGACGGCGGAGGCGGCCGTCATGAGAGTGTTTAGGGATGTGTTATACGGCATCCCTTTGTCGGTGACCGCGATGCCATGGTCTCGCGCCAGGGTCAGCTGTTTCAGGGTCGTGTAGAAACTGCTCTCGCGTTTCAACGTGTGCATCCTAGTGTCGGCCGCAAGACGACACTGCAGCTCAAGCATGGCTCGTGTCACGACGCCTAGCCGGCCTTCATCATTCAGGGAGAGGACCAGCGCGCGAGCTGCCATGCGCACATAGATCGGTAGCAGGGACCCAACGCCGAGTCCATATTGTTCCACCGGTAGCAGCACGGCGCGTGTGGGAAAACTGGTGGGCAAGCGGTAGCAGCGTCGGGCTGCGCGTGCGATCATCGCATCCAAAAGTCTGATATCATTAGGAGTGTATGCCATGGTGGAGAAGCTGTATGACACTACTGCTTGTATACAAGTCTGTATGATTCTGATACATTGGTCCGGCGATGCTAGGGATCCCTGAAGTAGGTCGCCCTTGTCCCTCACCGCCTTGCAGACGTGGGACATCTGTGCGCTCCAGTTGAGGGTCAGCGTTACGTGGACCCCAAGGTACTTGTAGGGTTCCGTGGGGGGTAGGTACGGCACTGACTGGCCGCTGATTTTGATTTTTTCATCCAAGGCTGCCTTGAGGGTGCG